AAGGTTAAAGTTAACATGGGAAGAGCCCACGCGTGGGCTGCCTGGCCTGGACTTAGTCAAACAGGGTAGGTTAAAGATCTCCAGAGTCAGGGATGGAAAGTTTGAAAACATATTTTAAATGTAATTGGGGTTTGAAAAATAAACAAAACAGAAGTGTCTTATTTTCATAATACTTTTTTGCCCAAAGGTAAAACTAGTCCACATCTTTTCATTTGGTGAGAAAGACATGTGAGTAATGACTTTTGGTGAGTGGACACAGTCGTCTAAGTGTGGAGGAGTAATAATCTCTAAAGTCAGGTAGAGTTTAAAGGCCCTTATGCACTTTCAGACAAAGAATGGGGCCTCCCTGCAGCAGTGTAGGAAACAAACCCCTTATTTAACTCCCTGAACGGTAGCCAAATGAATTGAAGACGTAAACAGAACTGCATATAAAGGAAGTCCAGATAGCTGGACGCTCTCCAGATAAAGTAATATAGTAAATGCGTAAGAACTGTGGAGTCTTATGGATACAAGTTCACATCCTAACTGCACTATTTGCAGGTCATAAAATTCAGGGAAACTTTGCTTTAACTCTGTCTAGATCTTAGTGTCTTAATCTGTAATGCAATGACAATTAATCTGACCTCACAGAAGTGTAGGAATGAATGGATGTAAAGAAGCTCTCCCAGGGGCTGGGGATTTAGCTCAGCGGCATAGCACCTGCCTGGCAAGCGCAAGGTCGTGAGTTTGGTTCCTGGTACCAGAGAAAAACCAAAAAAATAAAAAATAAAAAAAATAAAGAAGCTCTTTCTAGTGGTTAGCACATAATAATTATTGAGTAAATAGCTGCTACTATTACTGTGTAAAAGTGGAAAGGGGGACATAAAAAGAATTAAGATGTGTTGTGTACATGTACCAACTTCCCATGATGAATGCAATCACTATGCACTGCAAACATGTACCAATTAAAGTTAAAATTAAAAAATAGAAAATGCAAACAAAAAATACTTCTACATGTCTTTCTTTTAAGTTTTTGTTCAACCAAGCTTACCAGAAGTCACCCGTTACCGAATAATCCTGGCTACACAGAATAGCTTTTCTTTTTTTTTTTTGGTTTTGGTTTTTCTCTGGTACCGGGAACCGAACTCACGACCTTGCGCTTGCCAGGCAGGCGCTTTGCCACTGAGCTAAATCCCCAGCCCCCAGAATACCTTTTCTTACATGAACTCATAACAGAAAATTTACCAAATCTGTTAGGTAAAATTGTAGCTGTGCTGCATAAATGTTATTTTTCTGTGATATTGGACAGCATGGCTATATATATTAAGAATGCCTAGTACAGTCTGTACTGAGTGATAAGCATTATAATTATAGGCATATAATTATGTGCTATACTTATTTATCCTTAAAGTTCCCATGGCTCCATATTCCATAAATAGATTTCATAAAATTGTGTTGTTTAATGTACTATCTTTTGCTGGTCTCAAGAAAAATGTCACCTCAGTAAATTAATGTTGTATTCAGGTCTTTGACTTAAAAATTTATTGCCACCACCTTGCCAAACTTTGAAGTATAGGGTTTTTGTTGAATAATTGCATTAATATATACATCATTTAATTTGTTACAGTATCACAGTAACTGTGATATGAAAGTATAAATTGTAGGTAAAATACAAATTCTACTTTTATTGCTCAGAATATGCTTGACTCTATTAATATAAATCAGTTTTCTAGCTTAAATACTAACCCTTAAAAATTTACTTTGGGAATATCGTACCTGAGATATATGTTCTATGGCACTTTGCATACATTCTTGTTCCAAGAAAGACATTTAAACAATTCATCTTTTTCATTTTAGACTTCTCATAGTAATCTTAAGATTGTCTAATTCTCAGAGGGAGAAAAACCCCCAAAATCAGAAATGCTAAGAAGCAGGATCAAAGTTAGACTCAGGAAGTTTGTAGGGCAGCTCTGGAAGATGCATCTGCAACACAGCAAGGGATAGGTGGGAGACAGAGCTTGGAGGGCCACAGAGCTCTTCAGATTACACACATATTTAAGGATGAATTATAATTCTTTGGAAATTCACTCAGAAAAAATCAAATAGTGTATTTTCTTCCTGAGATAATGGGATTATTTTAACTCAAATACAAATTTTACAAGTCTGATTGAAATTTTTAAAACTGTGATATTTCTTCCTGGGAATGAACTATTTTGCAATTTACTAACTGACATCAAATAGAATCATAGTAATTTTCTTGTCATTTTTACTTAGCATATATTCATTAGAATTATTTAAAATGAGTGATGACCTGTGGATTATGGAAGTGAGAAAAGCACTCATGAGGTGGCATTTTTTGTGCTCATGAGCATTGCACTCCTATCACAGTTAAAGAAAGTGACAAATGAGAAGTGGACCTGGCACCACCAGTGACTGAGACAGTGGGAAGATTATATAGTCAAAGACTGGGTGTTCCTATAGCTCTGGGGATGACATTAGCCAATAAACAGGGTCTCTGAAGGTGTACAGACTAGGAACCAAGAGCGAAGCACAACCTGATATCACCATTAGCCCCGCTGAAAGGTGCATGAATTCTGTAATTGCCTCTGAGACTTGTTAGAGGAACTCAGGTAAATCAGGCCGAGAAGAAAACTGCTGGAGGAAACATGGGAGAGTGTCTTCCAAGACAATTTTGCATGGATTCAGAGCACCACAAAGGGAGCTGCATCTTTATCTCACTAGCTTCCCAAATTCTCTGGAATCAGTCCTCACACGGACAGTGATGCTCACGGTGGTTGGAAGACTGGGTCACCATTTTGACCAAATAAGCCCCAAAGGCTGAGGCTCCTGTTTCTTCAAATGAGTTAGCCCAACCAGATTATCAGGAGGTGGGATTGTTTTTATAGTCATGGGAGGTTTAACATCCAGAGGAAATTAAAGATTCTTTCTACAGAAACAGACTTCTCAGAAAAGAAACCAGATCTTTAATTCTGAGTAATGTTTGTCTTTGCACCCCTGTGTCTTCCTCTGACTCCTGTACATTGACACAAATGCTTATTATTTTTTTTCTAAGAATCTCTATTTTTTTCTAGAAAAATGTCTTGGCATACTTAACTTTCCAGACCACTACTTCCTTACTATTTGGCCTCTTGATTGTCACAGAGTAGATCAATGTTTATAGGATTGAGTTTATTGGTAGCTTCATCAAGCCCTTGAATTATATCCAATCAATGGAGATCATTATTCCAGGATTTGAGAATCTGTTCCACACACTATAATTAGTAGTTTACACTTGACTTCCATAAATAAGGATCTAAGGGATGTCACTGTGGAGCACTGAGATTAAGGTGCTCAATTCCAATCTTAATAAATTGTTTTAATATAATCAGGAGGAATTTTATTTTGTTTTCTTATAATTTACCAGGTAAATATATGTTTTACTTTATATCCCAAGGTGAAAATCCAACTATATAGTCTAAGTATTTATGTATTTGTTTTTAAAAAACTGAAAGAAAATATTCTTATATTTAAGATAATTAGAAAAATCTTTATGATCTGAAATCTACATAATCAAATTATTATAGTGAATTTTGGGAAGATAAGTGGAGCAAGCATTATAAAGCACGTTTGACTTGTACATCTCTTTAGCAGTTAGGTGCCTGAGTAGCGCTCTCCAAGAAAGGGTATTTTGAAATAATTAGCCCTTGTAAGAAGTATTTGAAGAACCTTTTACTTATGATGAAGAGTCTTCTGTTAATACCAGCTCAAGCCTAAGCAAGAGGATAGCAGCCCAAACAAACATCTTGCGGCAAAGTATATTATTCATCAGGGTTATTATATTATTCCTGTAGGAATAAAGAATTCAGGCTGAATAGCTGCTAAATGAAAAAAATGCAGCATCAGTGAAGTGGTCAGATACCAGAGACATATTTCAGAAGGTCTCAAAAAATGATCTGCCTGAGAGCCTCTGAACCTCCTAACACTTGGCTTCAGTTATGCCTATGTCAGTTTAATGTGAGTAAAACCACGAAGGTCATGGCCTTTAAAATAATGAGATACAAGAGACTTACTCCATCATCAGAGCAGCTACAACAGCTACAGAAATTTATACTGCATTTATTTTAGTAAGCAAGAGAATTTTCTTAGCATTAATATGAACAACTTTAATTAAATTCAGCAAAGCTATTATTAATAGAGGCATAGATAGTGAAAAGGAGACATTTCAATATACAAACAATATTTTTTCTTAAGACAGTGTCATGCTATAGAGTGATGACTGGCCTGGAATTCACTATGGAGGCCAGGCTGGCCTTGAAATTGTAATCCTCTTGCTTTAGTTGCCCAAGTGTTGTGATTCTAGGCATGCAGCACATGCCTAGATATAACAAAATTTTAAAGATTGTGTGAAAACTGAATTTGAATAATACACTGAATTAAAATACTAATGTCTTTTGAGTGATTCATGGTTTAGAATCCTCTTTGGGTAGTAGATATGAAAACCAGCCATTTTATGAGCTAAATAGTACATTACAATTTTTTTGTGAATCAAAATATAGTTCTTTGATTTTTAATGATAGTAACACATATGGTACTATATTATAGCATTATAACATGCAGTACAGATTATATAATTTTATCTGCATTAAGACACATAGTAAGATACTGTGTCATCCAGAAAATGGTGAATTTAAGAAGCCTGTTAACAGAATAATGGACAATGTTTAACATAGGAGTTAGTAAGCTTTTTCTACAGTGAACATTTTAGATTTGTAGGTCAGACAGTCTCTGCCATAGTTACTTAAATTTTCTGTGTAGCATAAAAGTAGCCTTAGAGTATACATACACAAACAAGTTTGTATTCTAGTAAAACTTTATTTACAAAATCATACAGTGGTAATTTGGGCAAACATACTATAGGGCCACAGTATACTGAGCCCTGAATTTGTTCTATACATTATTTCATGCTATATGATCACCTTGATAAAATAACCAAAGTTTAATCAAACAGCAAACTGACCTACCTTTTCCCCAGGAATTCCAGGACCACCATATTCGCCTTTATTACCAGCTATACCCTAAAAGATAGAAATGCTCATTAGATGTGTTTAAAAAGACATATTAATTGCTAACATCAAAGAGAACCTTTCATTTCACAGATAAATTACTTTTGTTTGCACCAAAGCTTGTGTGCAGTTTCCTTCCTCCTTGTGTGTATGAGGCATTAAACTAGACTTTTGGAAATGTTTAGCAACTTGTCAAAACAGTGAATATTTAAATAATGATTGAAACTAAGAGTAGACATCATCTACACAGAATTATGTAATTCAGCTTTGTTCTTTATAATTATTAGAGGTAATGAATGATTCCAGTGTGGTTAAGAGGAATGAGTGAGTTAAAAGCAACTTCCTACTTGAAGTTTTGAATTCAAGTGAGTACCTATAACTTCAGTTCAAGTAACTTCATAGTTTCAGACTCTAAGACTTTTCAGACTCTATCCAATGCAAGATACTTGACTTTCCTGTACATCCCCTAGGAAAAAACCTCACTTTGGGTCAATCTAATTGTCAGCTTCCCTGCTGTTCTACCCACACTGCCAAGCAAGACTGGTAAACCTTACCCAATGAAGCCCATGGGTCACCTCTGGCTACCTCGATGGTCATGTCACAAATTTAGTCTAATAAATTTATCCTTGAAAGAGTAGAATATGAACTTTTTTGTCTTTTTTTTCAGACAAGGTTTCACTATGCATTTCAGGCTGGCCTTGAACTCACTTTGTAGCCCAGGCTGGACTCAAACTCACAGTGATCCTCCTGCCTCAGCTGCTTGAGTGCTGGGATTACAGGCATGCACTACCATACCTAGCCTGAATTTTTAAAATACTTGATCTGTTACAAATATTTGGTGGGGGTGAAAAATACACTATACTTTTGTGAATATATAATGCTATTATACTAAAAGTATTTAATTTCAGATTTGAGACACAAAAGTACATTTCACCTTTAATTTCCAATAAATTATATGAAATGATAGTAGATTGGATAAAATTTTAGAAAGTTTTATCAATTAGTATGGGATTAGAAAGGATAAAGAAACATTTCTCATACTGATTTAGGCAAAGAAGTCAGAAATATAAAATTTTACTTCCGTGGGGTTATTACTAAGGAAAAGTATTCCTCCTTTTAGAAATGTACATATTTTAATTCAATTATTTTTTACAGCTAATTCTATGATTATCTGTTGAAGCTACAGAACTGTCATTTGAGAAATGCCACAAAGAAAATAAGAGAAACTATTGTTCTCACTACTCAAAGTTGAGAGGAGGGTGGGAGAAATTGAAAAGAATTCATACAAATTTTTTAATAAAAACTCAAATAAATGAACTTATTCCATTTTAAATTGTTTTGATCTTCTCTTCATGTATATCAGCAAAAAGAATATTTCTTAAAGCCAACAGTTTGGGAAATTAACTGGAGATGTGGGGGAAAACACAAAAATAAACTGGAAAATTGTTCCCCTGATAGAGTTTAGATAACTCTCCTCTCCTAGGTTCATGAACATTAAAACTGATTTGCTATTTTACACAATTGCAAGAGAATTTCTGTTCCGAAATGAGTGAAGATATTAGCAAAGGTCTTAGAGAACTGGGAAAGTAATGTGGTTGCTAAGTAATTAGGTTGCTAACCACACTTCCTCAGAAAAGAGAATTAAAAGATTCAGTAAATTATAATAATTGCATCTGAATGAAAGTATTAATTATTACTTCAAATAATATTATACAAAGTTTAGTCCTGCACTGAGGGAATAGTTAGAATAGTTTGATTAGGGGGCAACCCATTTTATGGGCCCTCTTCTCTCCTCAGACAGAAGCTTTCATTCTCTCAAAAAATTCTTCCTAGTCTTAACCTCCATTGTTCCTAGAATTCATTCCTTGATCTAGAGAACACAGAAAGCATTTTGGACATCTAGCAGGTTGGGAGTTCCCCTATATCATTTGGTGGTCTTCCATTGAGATAATAGCAGGTAAGAGTTTGCTTTTGTTTAATAGATCTCAGATTGTGACTCATTTAGGTAATCAGAATTTTTGTTATATCTTTTCCTATTGCTTACAGTTGGTAATGCTTTGTTTCTTATATAATTTTATTAAAATGGTGACAAATTTACATTGAAAATATGAGAAGGTTTTAAGGTTATAATTATGGGACATTTTGTTCCTGTTTTATATATGTTGCATTTGGACTTAGTTGCTCAATTTACTAGTGTTTCTTGTTTGACCTGTTTGGCTTGTTTGATCTGTTTGACCTGTTTGACTGCTATATTTAGAATCTTAGCAGTGCTAGAGAAATATATTAGAGCATCCCCTGATGGGCTTTGTATAAAATGCTGTGAAATAGGTCTTTTAGAATCAACTGTGGTTCATACTTAGAAAAATATACATTCCTACATAAGAAAACATGGAACTTCTTCTACCAGTTAAAGAATGCTAGGTCAGTAGCCATTCTTAAAACTTGGAGGCTAGGTTTCACTTGGACAATCTGGCTCTGATCCTACTCTACACTCTAGAGGAAATGTCAAGCTTTTTCTGCTTTAGTTTCATTTCTGGTCTAATCTTCCACTAGTAAGGAGGCAATCTTAGTTCTTGAGATTACCCATTCTCACATTTCCAGGCTGAGAATGACAACTCAGGAGCAAACTGTCTCTATAACTCACCATGAGCATGAGAGGAGATTTCCTTTCTCTGACCTTCTAATCTTTTCCTGCCTTGTTGTACTTTCCTTTTTTGGAGGTATGAAAGGGTGGAAAGGAAAACTCTAAACTGTTCAAACCTTTGCCTCCTGCCCAACAACTAAGTTAAGCTCATAGAAAATGAGTGTTTGCTAACATCTAAGACAGGGAAGTCATCTTAGATGAGGGACATATACTACATATCTGGTTCAGATGAGACATCAGAATTTTGCCCATCCAGGAGAACACACTTAAAATCCATGTCCTGGTTTAGTGTTATTGGCAAGTCTCCCTCAGCATCTGAACCTGAGGCACAGTGGAAAGAACTAACTTCTGGGTTAAACCAGAAGGAGCTATTTCCAAAGCACCACACTTATGGGACCAAAACATATTTAGCCTAAGGGAGGACCTCCAACCTTTCCTCTTCCCCTCCTACTAGGGGGGTCTAGTTATCATTTACATGCATAGTAGAAAATACTTTGACTGTGAGTTGTGGATTCTGAAACCTTTACTATAAAATTGTAAAACACTAGGTAATGATTTTGCTCAGGCTTTTACCTATCTCTTATAGAACTGTGACAAACAGTGGTTGCTCTGCCAGCTAGTTAAACGCTCTTAGAGTAACAGCCACTCTTAAAGCAGAGGACAGATTTCCCCAGAATCTTTTTGGCAAATCCCAATTGAAGCCAATGGTCAACGGAATGTTGACCAAACAGACAGATAGATTCCTTTCTGGAGACCAATATCTGGTTTTGTGGACCAATAGAAACTGAGAACAACTGAGGTGTTATGGCCAATGCTGCTCTCTGGCAGATACCCAAGGGTTCCTCAGTGGAAACTGGCTCCTGACCACAGAACAATCTTCACTTACTTATCATATTTTTTCTTTACTTTTAAGTCAGAAACCTCAATTTTTCTCCAACTTGTTGGGAGTTAACTTTAATATCACCTTGTTTTTAGATTGGCCCTCCCTCCAGAAATCAGGCTGAAACAACTTGCAACAACTGTTTACCTTTCATGGAGGAAAACAACTAGCAGAGGAATGATTTACATTTGTGCCGTAAGAAAGAGATTTTAGACTTTTTTTCTTATATGTACATAGAAGACTAATACATGTGCCTTCACTAACATGTGAACTGTGATTGCTAGATGATAAATATAACTTTAACCTGTGAGCTAACTTAAGAGATTTAAACATTTTTCAATGGACTTAAACCTGTAGCCTTGGACTATCACCTGTAGCCTGCCTAGGTGATTAAGTAGGTAATACAAGTGTCTTGGAGGCTTCTTCCTGGGGGAAATCCTGCAAGGTATTTATTTGCTTTAGTCTATAAAGGTGATCTCCTTTGCAAGATAAAAGGTATTGTCCTTTGATCTATTTGCCTCACTCTCTTTCAAGGAACTAAAAACCAGTGGGTTAAGGCAAAGTAATGTACAACAATATGCAGTATAAAACCATTGTTGAACTCCTACTATCATGTATGGTGAAGCTCTGCATAATTTCCAATGTTTTCTTTTAACCTGTTACTGTCTTTGATTGTTTGATCAGTCTTATATTCTTATGTCTGGTGGACTAAGCAACTTCTTTGAAGATAACAGTATGTAATGCAGCAACCACTGTTAATTCCTATCATTTTGGTTTGAGTTCATGTATCATTTTTGTTGGTTTTGTATTGTTTTGATTTTGTCTTCATTGTTGTTTTGTTAGTTTTCTTAATTTTTAAAATAGAAAGACAAAGTAATGCTTCTTTCTTTCAACATTACTGTCACAGTTGAGACCAATTATAACTTGTGCTTATCAATGTCCTACAGGAGGAAGTTCACCAGCTCCCTGGGAAGATAAAATGGCATACCAATTTGAGGGTGGATAGGCTGGTCAAATTTTGTCTTCTGCTCTCTCACCAGATAGCATCCACTTGCCCTGGAGGGGAATCTATTCAAAGGATGCCATGATGGTATAAAGATCAAGTAGAAATTAAAGGGGATGCCCAATTCTTTCTATTTCATTTGCTGGGAAGCTCAATGTCAAAGTCTCTTACTCCTTTAAAATGCAAAGCAGTGAAAGCAAGAGACCAAAATGCAACTGCCTTTGTTGCAGCCTTAAAAAAAACCACAGACCTTAAGTGTGATTTTCAGGGCTCCAAGAAGAGTTTGACAATTACCAGCCTTACCTGCTACTGCTACCAAAAGCTAGGCCACCTTAAAAGGGACTGCTTTAAGAGGCTCCCCAAGTCTCTGGCTGCAAAGGTGGCCACTGGAAGCAAGATTGCACTCTAAGGCAGAGGACCTAGAGCTCAGGCTCATCTTCCCAGCTGGTCTACCAAGACTAAAGGGTCACAGGGCACTCTGCCTT